TGGAGCTCACTTGGTAGCCCAGGCTGGCCTCGAACTCACAGAGATCCACCTGGCTCTGCCTCCCGAGTGCTGGGATTAAAGGCATGCGCCACCACCGCCCGGCTACTGTTACCCTTTCTTGTACCCCTCCCATTCTGATGATCTCTTTCCTCTTTCCAATCAGTGCCCCCCCCCATTTGTTTATGTGTGTCCCAGTGAGTTTCATTAGGGTTTGTTTACAAGCACCCTACTTGTGGCTACATCACTAAAGAAAATGTCTCTCTCCCCCACCAACCACTTACTGGTATAAATCCTAAGGAAGTGGTGGGGCCGGATGAGTCCCTCCCCTTGTGTGACTGAGTGCTGACAGACCCAGTCTTGTGCACGTTATCACAGCTCCTAGGAGTTCAAGAGTGCAAGAGCTGGCTGGGGAGCTGACTCTCTGGGAAATCAGTATTCCCCTTTAGTTTGTCTTTAATAAATTCTTCTGGGGAAAACTCACTTTGTACAGGGAAGACAATTTACAGTGTTCTATTAGTGGAACATACTGATTTAACTCTCTGGGAAACGTGCCTGCCTCCGGGCCTGATGACCTGGTTTGATCCCCAGGATGAACCAATACCTACAGTCTGTCCTCTGACTTCCGCATACACACCAGGGGCCAGACTTCAAGTGGGCTGCTGATTGAAACACAGTATTCAGAGTCATATAGCCCTGGACTGTCTGGGACACACGACATAGACCAGACTGGCCTTGAACTTGGACTAGTCTTCAGAACTGTTTTCTGAACACTGGAATTGCTACCACATAAGGCTCAGAACAAACATTTCCAGCTGGTACTCTTATCAACAGCAGATTCCCCTTTAGTTTGTCTTTAATAAATTCTTCTGGGGAAAACTCACTTTGTACAGGGAAGACAATTCACAGTGTTCTATTAGTGGAACATACTGATTTAACTGCACAGGCTGAGTGTGTGTGTGTGTGTGTGTGTGTGTGTGTGTGTGTGTGTGTGTGTGTGTGAGGTCTTTTCTCAGCCGCTCCATCCACCTTGCTTTTAGAGACTGGGTTTCTCGTTGGCCTGGGGCTCGCCCACCAGGCTGGGGCATCAATCTGTCGTTTGTGTCTTCAGTGTCAGCATTGTATGCCTGGGCCACTACGGCTGCTTTTGTTTGCACTTTTGTGTTTTGGGTGTGACTCTTCCACACCTGAGCTGTGAACTATGTATCCAGCTCTGTTTTGTTTGAAAACAGGATTCCCTATGAAGCCCAGCTTGGGAAGGCTTTGGGTTTACAGTGTTCCTACCCCAGCCCACTCAGGACTGAGATTACAGGTGTGTGCCACCGTGCCTGGCTGTGGACCTTTTTTTTTTTTTTTTTTTAATTCTGGCATTGCTGGGGATCAAACCCAGAGCTCTCCCATTTACGGCAGCTACTCATGAGCTAGCGGCCCTTTTAATCATTTTGATTTATTATGAGTTTGTGTGCGCCACCGTGCATGTGTGGAGGTCAGAGGACCACCTTTTGGGAGTCTGTTCTCTCCTTCCACCACAGATTCTGGGGCTCAGACTCAGGTCGGGGTCAGGCTTCAATGGCAAGCATTGTTACCCAATAAGCTGTCTTGCTGGGTCCCTTTTATTTTTATCGCGTGTGTGCACTGTGTGTGGAGCGCACTTGGGTCCCACAGTATTCATGAGGTCAGAGGACGACTCTGTGGAGTCAGGTCTCTCCTTCCACTTTTGGGTGGCTTCGAGGGACAGAACTCAGGTCTCCAGCCTGCACAGCAAGGATCTTTACTCAGTGAATCATCTCACTGGCCCTTGGGTTTGTGTTGTTTTTTTTTTGAGACAGTGTCTCTCTATTGTGTAGCTCTGGCTGTCCTGGAAGTTGCTATGTAGACCAGGCTGACTCTCAGGTGCTAAGATTAAAGGCATGTGCTACCATGATGAGCCACTTTTTTTTTTTTTTTTAGAGAAGTCTCCAGCTGAAAATGACTTGTCTCTGCCTCATACTGGGATTACAGACTGTGGGGGACAGTCCCCACTTTCAGGACCAGGATACTCTTGAGCAGGGAGAAGTGAGAAATATTTAGATAGAAAGAGATACCTAGACGACAAGAGGAAAGACAGAAACACGGGATAGCCTTGGGAGGGCCTGGGTCAAAACCCAACAGCCCAGAACTTTATTCCAAAGGGCTTTTTATAACAATGCCAAGAGGGGAGCTAGATACAGCCAAGTGTAGACCCTTCCAAACACCTGGTACCCAGGCCCGTGATCAAATCATCCTCTTATGCAGTCCTGCTGGGTGAAGCCACTAGGAAACCTTGGTGGGCTCCAACCACAGACATACCATGATGCCTGTCCTTACTTTCTTTTACAACATGACATTCCAACCGGAGAGCAGTATTCAGATGCTATCTGGCAATGAGTATCAAATCTTCTGTCATAGATATTAGGCATGTGTGGTGTTCACGCATGGGCATGTCTGTATGGGTGCACATGTGAATGGAGGCCAGAGGCTGGCTTCCGGGATCTTCCTCTGTCACTCTCCACTCTAGACATCGAAGAGGTGACTCTCATTTGAAGTCTGAGCTCCCACTGGGGTGATCTCGCTAGCCAGCTTGCTCCGGAAAAGCCCATCCCGAGGCTGGGATTAAAAGTGGGCCACCACACCCACGGGGCATTTGCACGGCTCTGGTTATCTCACTTGTAGCTCTCACACTTGTACAGCAAGATGTCTACCCATCAAGCCATCTCCTCAGCCCCAAATCATCGACAGCCTAGCATGGTTTAAAAATAACTATTTCTAGATTTATTTATTTTATGTATGTGAGTGTTTTGTCTGCTCGTCTGTATGTGCACCGTGTGCATGTCTGGGGTCCTGGAAGGCCAGAAGAGGACACTGGGTCCTCTGGAACTAGAGTTATGGATGGTTGTGAGGCACCATGAGGGTGTTGGGAACTGAAACCAGTGCTCTCAAGCACTGGGCACCTCTCTAGTGCACTGAGCATGACTTTTTAAAACATGGTTGTCATTATGGGTAATTTCTACTGAAATTAAATGAAACGATTGACACAAAACATACGCTAGTTTTACAATATGACCTGCTCTGAATCATAATGAAGAAAAATTTAAAAACAAACCATAGCCAGGTGATGGTGGGACACGCCTTTAATCCCAGCACTTGGGAAGCAGAGGCAGGCAGATCTCTGAGTTCAAGGACAGCATGGTCTACAGAGTGAGTTCCAGGACAGCCAGGGCTACACAGAGAGATCCTGTCTGGAAAAACCAAAACAAACAAACAAACCGTAAAAAGAATAATTTTTTAAAAATCAGCTGCTGGACCTAGTAGTGCAGGCTGGACCTGGTAGCACAGGCCTGTAACTCCTATAATCTCCAACACTGGGGAGGCTGGGGCAGAAAGATTCAAAGTTCAAAGCCTAACTGGGCTATAGAGTGAGTTCAGGATGGCCTGAGTAATTTAGTCACAAAAAATAAAATAAAAATAAAACAAAGAGAGCGCTAGAAACACAAGGGCAGAGGACTTGCCTCTCCCGTGTGAGGATCTGGGTCCAGTGTCCAGTATAGAGCAGTGGGAGATCAGCCTAGCCTGGTGGTGCGGGCCTGGAGTTCCATCACTCAAGAGACTGAGGCCGGGCCCGCGAGATGGCTCAGCAGATACAGGGAACATCCTGAATTTGATCCCTGGAACCTACTTAAAGGTGAAGGGACAGAGCCAACTCCACAAAGCTGGCCTCTGACCACCATATGTACAGCATACACTCACACACACACACACACACACACACACACACACACACATCATGCAAACACACAGAGACAATCACACAAATACACACACGCATATAAAAGAAATTCAAAAAAAGAGGTTGAGGTAGGAGCATCATGAGTACAAGGTTAGCCTGGGCGACAAAAATGAGACCTCAGAGATAAATAAGATTAAAATGATCTCTAAGGACTAAAATTAAAAATTATAATACAGAAGAGTAAAAGTCTGCTCTAGTAGACTAGCTTGCACAAGTTGTCTATCCAAATGTCAAGAAGTAACTTCCTAATTATTATTCTGTTTTCCTTTACTCTCTTTATGCTAGTGAGAAATCCCAGGTTTACTCATTTATTGATTAATTACCTCATTAACTGAAAAAAATTATATGAAACACACTGGAATTACAAGTGTAAAAGAAAATCAAGCCCCTCATTTTATTCTTGGAAAACTTTATTACAGTTTAAACAAAGCCACAGACGGGAGCTCTCGTAAGGCCGCCCTTCACAGCTGTATGTGGCACACCCCACACGAGAGACATCATTTAGGCAAAAGACATTTATTAGTCCATATTATTCTTATCTCCCAATCTGAGATCATGGAAATTTAGCCAAAAAGGTTACAAACAGATTTACATGGAGTCACATCAGAAAGCAGAGGAAGTGATGTCTAACGTTGGGTAAGTCTGTCGGTAGCTAGTCCTCAGTAGACTGAGTTCCTGAAGGTCAAGGGCAGGTGGCTCACACTAAAAATACCCGCGATGGTGCTGCGCTCCCACCAGCTCAATCGTTACGAGGACTGCAATGTCACTTACAATCTGATGGAGGTTTAAAGAGTCAAGTCAAGCCCAAAAGATAAGAATCACGTATTTCTTTAGAGGAAACATAAAAACATGACTAGTTGGTTCTTGTTTTAATTTACAATTAAAAAGTCTATTTTTGAAGACATAAAAAAATAGACACGGTGGCCTTGTCACACACCTGAAAAAAGACTCCATACAGAATGTCCCCATTAACAGCCACAACCAAGAAGTCTGTTTCAGCCCACAGATTTGATTTCTGGGTAAGTAACAAACTTTACTTGGATTGACCTTCTATCACCAGCACACACCTTGCCGGCTAACTATTAAACATCTACTTCTTCCACTCTATTTTCCCTTTCACTAAAATGCACCTAGACATAACCAGACAATTCAAAAAGGCTGCAATGGCCTTCAATAATTTTCTTCCTTTTTTAATTACAAAAATTTAAAGACAGGGGAGCTCACCATGTAGCCCAGGCTGGCCTGAAACTCATGACCCTCTTGCCTCAGGCTCCCAAGTGCTGGGATTATAGGCTCACATCACCATGCCCAGCTCAATAATCTTCTTTTCCTATAGCTGATCTTGTTCTCGGTGAAGGCTAATGCCTGATTCGGCCTCTAGTCTGTGATTTCAGATTTACAATAGAAGACTACTGCATCACATATAGCCATCTTGATCAATGATCTACTTACATCTCATAGCCAGTTATCTTTCAAAACAAGTTATCAATGTAAAATATGCAATATTGTTGAAAAATAAATATACAGTATAGAGAAGTTTCTACATTCCCATACAGGCTTTAAAATGAGGTAATAAGAACTTAACTGATTAAACCTTTTTACCATTCTGCAAATCTCAGGGAAACAATGGTGCCACACCTTTCCTCGGATCTTTTCACGTCATGTCTCCTTTGAGTAATTCTGAGACCCTTTCTTACGCGGGAAAATTATTTAGGAAATCCTTAAGCTTTGTTGGGTAGTCTGTCATCACTCCGGTGGCTCCCAGATCAAAAGCTCTTTTGTACTCGTGTTCTTCATTTAAAACCCAAACGTATACCTGGGAATTGGGGTGTAGGAAGTATCAGAAGAAATGTTAAACAGAAAATGATTTCATATTTATCCACTAGGATCTCAGCATGCTTACAGTGAACCTTATGAAGGTTGTCATTTTAAGAAATGATTAAGCTCGTTTAAAAAAAATTCCATTTCCTCATTAGATATGCACTATCCCACCCCTGATTTCAGCTGCCCTCATTTACGTAAGAATCTAGCTAATGCTTTATCACTAACTACGAGGAGCATACAGTCCTCATTACAGTTGTAGCATCAAAGTCAGAGCTCAGGCCGAGTTACAGACCCTGCGCTGTGGCTTGTATCAAACGGTGGGCGCTGCTATTTCAAAGGGCACCAGTGCCCAGACTTACTTGAATGCCCCGGGCAGTGAGGTGGTCAAATAAAGCTTTCCGCATCAATAGGCTAGAGGGGGAAGAAAACAGAGCAGAATCAGGCACATCTTCATCCTTAGGAATAGAACTAACCTTTGTTTTCTCCGTCAGCTTATAGTTTAATAATTGCTAGTTTAATCCATCAGCTTATAGTTTTATAATTGCTAGTTTAATCCCAGCACTTCAGCAATACAAACGAACATCTCCAGTAATAATGGGTGTTACAAATTCATTTTCTTTTTCTTTCTTTTTAAGATTTATTTACTTTTATGTGCACTGAATTTTTTTTTTTTTTTTTTTCATGACACATTTTTTTTTTTTGCTTTTGCAAAATCGAAAGGCTATATGAGTTTTAAGACAATAAGTTTCGGGAGCTTTTTTTTTTTTTTTTTTTGGCTTGCATATATGTTTCTACCAAGGTGCCAGATCCTCTGGAACTGGAGTTACAAGCAGTTGTGAGTTGCCCTGTAGGTGTTGGGAATTGAACCTGGGTCCTCTGGAAGAGTAGCTGGTGCTCTTAACCACTGATCCATCTCTCCAGCCCCCTCCTTCTTTCTTTTTGGACAGTCTCACTATGTAGCCCTAGCTGGCCTAAACTCCCTATGTAGACCAGGCTGGCCTATTTGGCCCCTGATCAACAGAACTCTATCTGCTTCTCTCTCTAAAGGCCACCACACCCAGCTGGGTGAATCTGCTGACTGCTGGCCACCCAGAGCCTGCTCTCGGGCTGCCACTGGATGCTCACAAAACCCTTCTCCTTGCAGCACCTCAGTGAAGTGGAGGCTCCTCACTTTGTCTGCTGGGGCTGAAATGAGAGTGAGAATGCGCTAGAAGCCTCTGTTCTGTGCCCAGCTTTCCAAGTTAAGGCAGGGCATTCTACTGGAGATCTGTGCCATTGTAGTTCCAACATATATATTTCTGTATGTCTATTCATTGTAATTTTCTGTATCTGTGAAAAATGATTTTAGACTACAAATCACTTAAATAAGATGGGAACTAGTCATACTGGAAAAATCACAAATATTCTTTTTTTAAAAATTTTACTTTAAATTATGTCTTTATGTGTGGTGTCTGTGTAGATAGATATGTGCACACGTGAGTGCAGGTGCATATGGGGGCCAGAGGAGGCGTCAGATCCTTTGGAACTGGAGTTACAGGCGGTTGCAAGCAGCCTGACATGGGTTTTGAATTTACATGTAGCACAGTGATTAAATATACAAAAATCTAGCAACCATAAGCTTTAGCACCAATTAAAATGTATTCTTGAGGGACTGAAGAGATGGCTCAGAAGTTAAGAGCACTGGTTGTTCTTCCAGAGGACCTGGGTTCAATTCCCATCACCCTCATGGCAGCTCACCACTGTCTGTAACTCCAAGATCTGACACCTTCACACAATCATCCATGTAGGCAAAACACCAATGCACATAATAAAATAAATTATTTTTAAAAATGTGTTCTTGAAAACTAGAAATTAAACCAAAAAATAAAATACAAAAAGAATACACTCCTGTGACATACAGGACTCCCGGACATCAGGCATCAGGAGCTTGTATGCAGGACTACACTTGGGTGGTTGTCAGGGTTTGGTGCAAAAATTTCCAAGAAATGTGCCAGTAGACAGTACCCACGTTTACACACCCTGTATCGCCACACACACTTCTTTTCACCGTGAACTGTGGGTTTGTGGAAACAGCGAGGAAGTCGAAGGGAACAGTTAGTTTTTGCAACCTTGCTAGTAACTAGCTACGTAACCTTGAGTAAATCGTTTAAGTGAATGGGCAGGTGCTTGGTTTACTCGTGAAGGTTGAGGAGATTATCTCTCTAGGTTTTATGACTAGCGACTAAGCTGGCCCAGATGGTTCACTGGTATCCACGTGCACAGTAGCTGCTCAAGTCCTGCTTACAAATGACGTGTGGACAGACTGCACCATGTTCCAAGGCTAGCACCCAATAAACACAGCTCCAGGGCCAGTGAGTTGGGCTGAGAGGTAAAAGAGCTTGCCGCCAAGCCTGCCATAAGCTCTATCCCCTGGTACCCTTGTGCTGGAAGGAGAGAAACACTCCTCAGAGTTGTGCTCTGACCTCCACACTTTGTAGCATAGGCTGCCCACTTCCCACTGCACACAAAACAAATTTATTCTTTTTCAAAAAGCCAAGCATGGAGGGGGCATGCCTTTAATCCCTGCATTGGCTGGGGAATCTCTGTGACTTCAAGGCCAGCCAGCCTGGTCTACATAACAAATTCCAGGACAGCCAGGGCTATACAGTGAGACCCTGTCTTGAAAAAACAAGACAAAACAAAACAAAAACAATACAAACACACATTTATATACAGATCTCTCTCTAGAGATGTCTTGGCAGTTAAGAGCACTTGCTACTTTTGCAGAGGACTCAGGGCTGATTCCCAGAACCCACATCAGGCAGCTCATAGCTGCCGGTAACTCCATCCAGTTACAAGAGATCCAATGCCCTCTTCTGGCCTCCTCAGGCACAAAGCATGCATGTGGTGCACAAACGTATCTGCAGGCTTGCACACATACACATGCCATAAAAAAAAAACTTCAAAAAACATATATATATATATCCACATTAATAATTAAAATACTTACGTATCAGAAAGCCAGATGAGGAACTTATGACCTTTGGACATAGTATGTGGTTCTTTTAGCCTAAGAGAAGTCAAAGCAGTACGAATTAGGAACGCAGGAATGTATCAGTGTGGTAGAACAAGACAAATTCAAACTGAAGACAGTGCCTATAGATAGGCTGGGAGGCAGAGGCAGGAGGATTGTTGTGAGTTTCCAGTCAGTCTGGTCTTCATAGTGAGTTCCAGGACAGAGAGAACTACACAGTGATACCCTGTCCCAAAAAACAAACAAACAATAAATAAAATTTTAATTAAAAACTAGCAATTATTAAACTCCATAAGCGACAGAGAAGACAAAGGTTAATTCTCTTCCTAAGGACGAAGATGTGCCTGATTCTGCTCTGTTTTCTTGAGTTATTATTTTTGCTTTTGTCTTCTTCCAGTTTCTGAGGTCTGGAGCGGCACAGCCATCTGCCAAGAAATCTCTGCCGCACCTCTCTCCTGCCAAGGCTCCTTGGCTGCGCTCTGAATTTGTCATTTGTCAAACAGGCTTTTCATGTTCCCCAGTTCTTCATTTTTTGTTTCTTTTCTAACTTCTCCTGCCCTCGCTCTCCTCTTCCCCCACCTCCTTCCCCTTCCTTCTCTGGGTGTGTGCTCACATATGGGCTAAGCGGGCTGAACTCCCGGACCATCAGTCTGTTTCCTACCAGCCCTTAGGTTGCTGATGCAGACTGTTGCATCTGGCTTTACATGGGTACAGGGGACCTGAACTCAGGTCCTCATGCTTCTGCGGCAGGCACTTTCCCCACTGAGCCACCTCCCTAGCCCCTGCATGTGGTGCCCCACTCAGTTTATGCAATTCTGGGGTAAAATTGAGGACATCATGGATACTAGCCCAGCATTCTAACAACCAAGCTGTATCTCTAGGTCCAATTTTGTTTTGTTCTGTTTTGGTTTTTCGAGACAGGGTTTCTCTGTGTAGCCCTGGCTTTCCTGGAACTTGCGCTGTAGACCAGGCTCGTCACGAACCCAGAGATTGGCCTGCCTCTGCCTCCCCTAAGTGCTGGGATCAAAGGTGTGGGCCATCACCAGCCAGCTTGATTTTTGGTTTTTTTTTTTTTTTTAGATTTTTTTTTTTTTAAAGATTTATTTATTTATTATGTGTACAGAAGAAGGCGCCAGATCTCATTACAGATGGTAGTGAGCCACCATGTGGTTGCTGGGAATTGAACTCGGGACCTCTGGAAGAGCAGTCGGTACTCTTAACCACTGAGCCATCTCTCCAGCCCCCGATTTTTGGTTTTAATAGAAACTCCGAATAAAGTTTTCTCAACACTGATCCAGATGGGAAGTCTTGGTCAAAATTTCAGGAATCTAAGGGATTCATACCTCAAATATTAATTACCTCACTAAATGCAATTCCTAATTATTTTATTAAGTGTCTAGTGTACTGCACAGAATATCAAAGCAAACAGAAATAATATTCTATGAAGTCATACTTACTATATGTGTGTGTGTGTGTGTGTGTGTGTTACATGTTCATGTACGTTTGTGCAAGTGTGTGTGTGTACACATGTGGACGCCACAGGCTGATGATGTGGAATCTTGCTTGATCATTTTCAACCTCTTTTTGTTTTTTCCCTTGAGACAGGGTCTCTCCCTGGATCTTGAGTTCACTGGTTCGGCCTAGCTGGCTGATCAGTGAGCTCTAGGAATTTGCCAGTCTCCATCCCACAGTGTGGGGCTGCAGACAGATGCCGCTGTCCCGGACTTTACACGGGCTCTGGGGATCCGAACTCAGGTCCTTGTGCTTGCACAGCTGGTACATTACCAACCGAGCCATCCCTTTGGTCCTTGTCATCACTTCTCAGAGTGTTTCTGCTTCCTGTGTTTATATTACAACAACATCCGCTTCCCTCGAGAGTGCACTGAGCTGTCTAGAGGACGTGGCGCTCTACTCCAGGTGGAAAGAGCCAAACACTTCAGTAATAAGTGGTTAGAGTCTTTCTAGTACAGCAAATGAAAACAGATTCTTTGCAGACAAGTGTTTTCTGAGCAGGACAGGGAGGGGCGGCACATGCCTGAAATCCCAGCACTCTAGAGGCTGGGTAATGGGGTGGCCATGAGTTTGAAGTCATCTGGGCTACACTAATAAGATGTGTGTGCATGTCCATGTGCGTGTGTGTGAATGAAATGGTATTTTCAGCTGTTTTGTCTAAGAAATGTCCATGAAGACTTTTAACAAATATAATTGAGAATTGATAAAATAAACAGCTTGTCACTAAGAATCTCAAACAGTCAAAATAGCCTGCAGCAGGAGCGAATCATAACATGACTCAGCGAGGTGCTTGCTACCAAATCTGATGACCCACGTGGTAGAAGAGAACTGATTGCTGAGGGTTGCCCTCTGACCTCCACGTGTGTGCACTGGCACACTTAGAGTGCACTCATGCACACACACAATAAGGAACTGGAATAAAAACTTGGTTGGGGACTATGCGGTAGAGGGGTGGCTCAGACAGAACAGTGCTTATGCAGACATGATGACCTGGGCCTGAGCCCCAGCACCCACGCTAAAAAACAAACAGGGCACGGAGAAGTACATACACTGTGTAATCTACCATGGGGAAGGCAGAGACGGGCGGATCCCTCGGGCAGGCTAGCCAGCTAGCCTAGAATAATCAGCGAGCCCCAGGTCCCAGTCAGAGATCCTGTCTCAAACAACAATGCCAGAGTTTACCCTCCCTCCCCCAACACACACACAGAAAATGTGATCTAACTATATTAAGAAGCTTTTGACAGCAGAACTCTTTTTTTCTGTGTTTGTGTGGGAGATTGAACCTAGGGCTTTGTATTTGCTAGCAAGAGCTCAACCACTAAAATATATCCCAAGTCCCACAAATGTCTATTAATTTCTTAAAAATAGTGTTAAAATGTATTCTTTGAAAATTTCATACGTGTAGTTTGATCATATTAATCCCCCCACTAGTCTTTTTTATCCCATTCCCATGCCCTTTGGATCATTTCTTCCTTCCAATAAACCCCGGTCTTATGTTCAATAAACTCAGGTGAAATAGGGGTGCTTACCTGAGCACGGGCATGGAGTTACTAGAGCATGGGTGAGGTAATAGTGGCTACACCGTGGAGGAAAGCCGAGCCTCTCCTCCAGAAGATGTCAACTGTCTATAGCTAGGGGTGGGAAAGTCTATTTATTTTATTGTTGATATTTGCTTTAGTCTGTTTTTCCATAGCTATAATAAAGTGTCTGAGGCTGGGATGTTTACAAAAAAAAAAATAAGTTTACTTAGATCACAGTTCTAGAAACACAAAAGCACAGTACTAGAATTGGTTTGCTTCTTTTTTTCCCCCCTTTGGTTTTTCAAGACAGGGTTTCTCTGTGTAGCTTTGCACCTTTCCTGGAACTCGCTTTGTAGACCAGGCTGGCCTGGAACTCACAGAGATCCGCCTGCCTCTGCCTCGCGAGTGCTGGGATTAAAGGCGTGCGCCACCATCGCCTGGCCTGTTTGTTTCTTGTGAGGGCTTCAAGGCAGCAGGAAAGCAGTGGGCAGTGGCAGAAGGGAGGTGCTTGCATGTGAGAAGCAGCAGAAAAAAACCAAGAGAAAACTCATTCCCACAGGAAAGGAATTCAGCCCCCTAAATCATCTAATCACCCCCTAGGGATCCTACCATGACTCAGCACAGATGAAAACAAGCCCAAGTTTAGTGGGGATAAAGCACGCGTGAACTACAGCGAAGGCCAGGGGTTGAGCTGGGAGAATCCACCCACACCCAGCCTTCGATCCCCAGCACCTAAGAGTGATGGGGATGGGCATGAGCCACTAGTTGAGCATTCACTAACGGGTAACTGGTAAAGAGCATAAGGACTTACTTCAGTATGATAGAAGGCATTGGAATTTCAAAGAACTGTTCTCGAATGGGCACAAAGGGCAAGAGGCCGGTGAAGAAAAGACCAAGGATGAGCAGAACACGCTGTAGGCTGAAGAGTATAGGGATATCTGAGTTCTAAAACACAAACAACATTATATGTTACTTTAATAGGCAGGATCTTTTTTATAAACCTCAGGATATATTTCCCAGACTATATGCTGACGACTCTTGCAAACATTCTCTGAATTACGAGTATTCATTACAATAACAACTCAGAAAAAGGTAGTCTGTAATTCATAAGTAATGATCGACTTTGGAGCCCCGTGGAGGAATGAATGCCACTGAAGTCTCTCTGGTGCTTTTGTAACACGACATGGGTCTGTTGGTTATGTATGGACAACTAGAGACTAGGAGAAACACACCAACACAACAGCAAAAAAGATGACACATGAAATGTTTGGTAATTTGGCTCCTGCTAAATCTACACAGCTCACTGGGCAGTGGTGACTCAGGCCTTTAATCCCAGCACTCAGGAGGCAGAGGCAGGTGGATCGCTGTGAGTTTGAGGACAGCCTGGTCTACAGTTCCAGGACAGCCAGGGCTACACAGAAAAACCCTGTCTTAGAAAACAACAACAACAACAACAACAACAAAAAAACCAAACCAGAGTCCCTAGGGTGCACACATGCACATCAATACTGCTGCAAATACGTCCTTGTTCTGCTGTTACGGATCAAATACAGAACATAAAGTGGGACAGCGCATACCTGCACTCCCAGAACATGGCAGGCTGAGGCAAAGGGATCTCAAGTTTGAGGCCAGCCTGGGCTACATAATGAGACCCTGTTGTAAAATGAATGAATGATAGAATTTTGTAAATTAGAACAAGAATCTAGCTCTGATTTAGAAATAACTATAGACTTACAGAAAGTTATAAAACCAGTAGTGTGTGACATGTGCTTGACTTGACTTCTCCAGAAGGCGATGTGTGATGAGGCTGTACTAGAGGAGGATCCAAGCCAGTTGACAATGATGTATTACTGCTGCTTAAATGACAAATTTTAGTCCGTTTGCATCATTTTCTCTTTGTGTCATCATTTTTAATCTGTTCCCATCTGTGTGTGTGTGTGTGTGTGTGTGTGTGTGTGTACAAGCATGTGTTTAAATTCTGTGTGGTCCACGTACAGATTCCTATAACCACCACAAACGACACAGAGAATATTCTATCAACACCGTGCCCACTCCCTACCCGCTCCAGTGCCTGTCTCCTGGCAGCCACCAATCTGCAATTCACATCTACAGTTTTGAGAACGTTATATAAATGGAATCATACAGCATATAACCCTTTTTGAAAGAAGGGTTTTACTCAGTAATGCTTGACAATTTCAAATATTTTGCCACTTTGTGGATACTATTGCCCTCACTTAGAAAACTCTTCCACCACTTCGCCTTCCATTCACTGTATACAGCTCAACTGAAAGAAATGTGGAGACTGGAGTGGGGAAGGTCTGCCAGTTACCCTGCTCGGGTTTTTAAATCTCCTCACGAGTGATATTTGTACATAGTTCTCTGCCACCTTCTTCGTCTGGCTTTGATATTTAAGGTACTTGCTGGTCTGAGGATGACTTGGGTATTGTTTCCTCTTCTCTGAAAGCTCGACAAGGACTGACGTTGTTAGCTCTTTGTTGGGCAGAGCTCAGCTGCAAAGACATTGATTACTCATTCACTCTCCTTATTCGTCATAGATCAACTCAGAATTTGTTTCTCCCATGATTCACTCTTGTTAGCTTTTATTTTCCAGGAGTGAGTCCTGTTCTTAGAGAGAATATACCTAATGTGCTGGTGCACAATTGTTCGCAGTGATCTTTTATTTCTACACCAGTGTTCATAACAGGCATCATTCAAATGTCTAAAATGTGGAAGCAACTGAGTACTAAACAATGGATAAACAAAAAAGTAAGGAAATAAAATAAAAATGTGACACGTGTAGTTCTACCCTGTCTCTAACAGTGTTCCAGTCCACGCCTGGCTGCATATGTAACAGTGGTCCTTAAGATAAAGGAGCTGAAATGTCCCACGTGTGTAATGACAGCCTTTGACTTCATAACAGCTCTAGTGCAATGCAATGTACTGTTCGTGGGTTTGTGACACCACTGTAAACAAACCCACTGAATTGCCAGTCATATAAACGTATAGCAATACAATTATATACAGTAGATAATACCTGATAATAAACCACTGTAACTTGTTTACATATTAATTATACTATACTTCAAATCATTTAAAAAAAAGGGCTTTACTTATTCATTTCCTTCCCTCCCTCCCCCCCCAGTGTGTGTGTGTGTGTGTGTGTGTGTGTGTGTGTGTACATGTTTGTTTGGGGTGGCCGTACTTGCGCCCATGTTTGGAGGTCAACCTCATGCCTGCCACATGGATGCTGGGTCTCAAACTTGGGCTTAAAGCTTGAGCCATCTCTCGGGCCCCAGCATATAACTTTTAAAGGTGTATATTTGTTTATTTAGGGGTGGGGGTGCCTGTGTGCTGGTCAGAGGACAACTTGCAGAAAGCAGTTAGTTCTCTCCTTCCACGGCCTGGGTCCCGGGGATTGAGTGTAGGTCACTGGCTTGGCCATAAGTACTCTTAACTGCTGAGCCATCTTGCCACCCCATCAGTAGGTAACATTTTGAGTGTGTGTGAGTGTGTGTGACTGTGTGTTCGAACCCAAGGCTTTGAGTATTGCTAAGGAAGTGTTCTACCACTGAGCTATAGCTCCACACCTCTTTTTACTTTTTATTTTGAGACAGGGTCTTGCTAAGTTTCCCAGGCTGGTGTTGAATTTACTTTGTAGCCCGGGTTTACCTTGACCTTCTGATCCTCCTGCCTCAGCCTCCAGAGTAGCTGGGATTACAGTCCTGCATTGCAGCCTGGTTTAAGGTTGAGTTTTTAATTATTTTTCTTATAGTAATTGTTTTTGGTAGGGGGGGACATGGTCTCTCTTTACAGACAAGCTGACCTCAAACTCAGATATGTGCCTGCCTCTGTCTCTTGAGCATTGGGATTAAAGGCACATGTCACCAGGCCTAGCTTCATTTTTAATTTATTTTTGGGTATATGCATGGTGTTCAGGCCACAGTTCACAACTCTGTGGAGTCAGTTCCCTCCCCCCACCTTTGCCCGGGTCTGGGGATAAATGCCTGACATGAAGTTGCTGGTTCATACGGTGACTGTGTGTTTAGTTTTCTTTAAAACAAACCCTCTTCTTCTGAAACAGCTACTGAAGAAAGCGGCTGCACATTCCCCACCAGCGACTCCAGACGGACGCGGCTCCCCGGCATTTGTACTCCCGTTATTTTTTGACAGGTTGTGTGGTGATGTCAAACATGCTAGCAGATGGCCTCTGGGACATTCTCTCCCCGTGGGAACACCTTAACGTGCCATTAGACGATGACCAGCTTTGAGGGAAAGAATTCTAGTTTGAAGTTCTCAAGCCCTGAAGGTAGCTGTGTAGCCAGCCCATGAGCTCTGTGGTCTCTCGCCTATTGTTCACAAGCTACCTTGGGCCCTCCAGCCTAGAGCGCTTAAAGAACACTTAGTCGGCTTAATGGGCCTCAGCTGTACTCTGAGCCATGCCATGCTGGACCCTGAGTATTTTTGTTTTTCTGCTGAGAAGGAAAACTCCTAAGAGTTTTTTGTATCTATCTGAGAATTTCTATGTGTCATGATATTTTCCCCTACACTTTGATATCTTTTGTGTCCTTAAAAAAGGGCCCCAAGCTTAGTATATACCTCAATGGTAGCGTGGTATAAACCAACAAATGTATCAGGCTTGGATGAATCCCCAGTACCACAAGTAAATGAATTAATTCTCTAAATAAAAATAAAAGGAAGCCGGGTGGTGG